GAAGCAACTCTAAAACGATCCTTATTAACTAGACTTAGGTATGAAAAGCAAAAGAACAATATAAAAATAAAAATTTTCTATGGCTTTATTATGATGATTGTATACACTTAAATAAATTGAGATTTAGAAAGATGATGACTTATTTGGCTCGATGCATTAAATGCAATGACTCTAAGAAGACTCCTCTCTATATTTACATCATTGTCCTATCTCTTATGGTTTGAGTTTTCATCATTCTTCAGAGGATGTTGAATGATTTTTCAAACACAACCTATATGACTAATTTCACTAATATGTCAATAAAGATATTACATGGATGACTAGCTTAGATTATCAAACATTATACATCAAGTGCATATGGATCTTGCAAATTTCTTAAAACCAAGAATGATTGCAATAAAGAAATGAATATATTGAATCCAATATATTGCTTATAAAACTTAAAAATGGTAAAAAGTCAATGTTATAATATTAATTTCACTGCTTCGATTACTGACGATATTGATTTTTTTTTCTGAAATAATTTTGGCTACTAGCTTAAAGATTTCGCCAGAAATATTAACTATCAATTTTTTTTTATTATTATCTATATATTTAACTAAATAAAAACTATGATGTAATAAGATTTCATTTTTGACAATATTGTCATCTTCTTTTAATAGATAACTTTAGTTGCTAGCTTGAAAGATTCATGAAGAATATTTGCTATATTTTTTTTACTATCTATATCTATATCTTTAACTAAATAAAGTTGTTGATAACTTAGAGTTGATAGTTGTTTTTTTTTTTTTTGGGCAATTCGGGCAATTAAAAACAATTTCCGTAAATAAGGCACGTGCTCCACGCCGGTCGGTTGCAGAATTCCTTTTAAAAAAAGTTTTGCGCATGCAAATTGGCCGCTGACGCAATAAGAAAAAGAAACTGGGGGCCATTTCTCATTCATCCCCCCACAAAAGCTGCCCAGTGTCCGTCTTCTTCTTTTTCAGACCATGTACCTCGCCTTCCCCTCCAGATTCCGGTCACTGGACCTCTCTCTTCTCCTTTCCCGGAAACCGGGGCACCCCTTCTCAGACTGGAGAAAGTCCCGCCTATCTTCTGTTTCTCTTCCCGATCCACCCGCTTTCATGACCGAGAGGAGGTACCAACTCCCTCTCACGGCCAAGAAACGGCCTTTGATTGAAGGAGTGAGCGAGGAGTTGAATCTGATTGCTTCCCAAAATCTTGATTATGCTCCAGCTCGCAGACGTGTTCGATCGGCTTTCATTGATGTGCAGCAGCAGCTTGATCATTGCTTGTTCAAGGTCCGGTTAGTTTGATCCCTCTTGGTGTTAGCTAGGACTTAGCCGCTTCATTTTGGAACTTTTTAGCGCCGTGTTCGCTTTTATTTTGAATGTTCTGTTGTTTTTTACTTGACTGAGTATAAGGGGGGAAGTTACTAACTTTTTAATATATATATATATATTTAATGGTAGATGGCTCCTGCTGGGATCAGAACATTGGAGGTAAGCCATGCTGCTCTCTTTTCCTGTTCCTTAGAAGGTTTAATTTTCTTTGTACTTTATACTTCACTGTTACTCCAAAAAATGTGTGAATTCTATTTTTGAGAAGCTACTATCGAGATTCTAATTTTATAGATTGATGAATTTTCTTTTGCTTTGGGGTTGGTTAGTGGTACGAGATGAATTCAAGGGGAATGGAGATTTTCTGCAAATGCTGGATGCCGGAACTAGGCGTTGGAATTAAAGGTGTTGTGTGTTTTTGCCATGGCTATGGTGACACTTGCACTTTCTTCTTTGAAGGTTTGTCAAATGACAATAATAATTACGGAAGTGGGCAAACTATAAATCTTTCTCTATAATGTGTAAAAGGAGTTGGAAATTTCAGGTATTGCCAGGCAAATCGCTGCAGCTGGGTATGGAGTTTATGCAATGGACTATCCAGGTTTTGGTCTATCTGAAGGATTGCATGGTTACATCCCAAACTTCGATGAATTAGTCGATGATGTTATTGAACAATACACAAAAATCAAGGGTTTGATTTGCAGCTAACCTTTGCATTGATTGCTCTTTATCGGGGTTGTGTTTCCATGTTAAAGCTCATAGGTTATAGTAGAAAACAATGGCATTGTTCATTTGGACTTCTGTAATTTGTGTGGCAGAAAGACCTGAATCGAGAGGATTACCTCACTTTATATTGGGACAGTCAATGGGTGGAGCTGTTACTCTCAAAGTTCATCTGAAGGAACCACAGGGATGGGATGGGGTTGTGCTTGTAGCCCCAATGTGTAAAGTAAGGACATTCTTCTCTTCTCTGAGGCATAGTTTGAGAGAATCCACAATGATAGTGTCTGATAATTTTGAATTCTGGGTATCGCCAGCTAATATTCTTACTTTCATTCCCGTTTTTCTCCTTGCTTTCTTCTAGAAACGAATGGTTTTTACTACAAAATGTAAAATCTGCAATTTGTTTTGGTTCCAGGCTCAGTTGTATGATACCTTATCAATCTTAAATAAGCGATACCTGTTGATTTACTAGTCTGTAACATACCATTTGTGCACCTTCTGTTCTTGACTTCTTCATATCCTGCAAAAATTCAGTTGGTTCACTTTCTTCAATGGAGTATTAGAAAGATGATTACACTTTTATCCCCCTTAATTTAAATCCCTGCTCTGCCTGTCGTAGTCATTTAACTCAGAAAGGTGCAAGATTAAATTTTGGATCTGTACCAGTGTACTCTGTCAATTGACTATTTTATATTTGCTAACCTTGAATAGCTTCCAAGATTGCAGAAGAAGTGAAACCTCCAGCGGCAGTCTTGAAAGTGTTGACAGTTTTGTCTAAAGTCATGCCAAAAGCAAAGCTGCTACCAGAGAGAGACCTCGCCGAGCTGGCCTTCAGAGACCTGAGGAAAAGGAAAATGGTTAGCCTTCCATTCACTTACTGTAATTCATCTCTACATGTTTAATGTTCAAAAGGCTTTAACACCATACTTAGGTTTGGAAAGAAACTGTGTTGAAAATTCCCGATAGATAAACTGTCTTGGTAATAACTACAAAGGATAAAGATAGAGTTGTCTCTTTGATACAACTCTATCTTGCTTCCCTAAAGAAGCTTCTAAGCATGAGTATTTCATAATTACAAACACTTTTCTTTCAAATCATCTTTAGCGCCAGAAACTGCAGGTGAAGCCTAGGGATATAATAACAAATCCTGTTGTAGATAGTTCTTTTTTCCTTGTTTTCGACAAGGTATTGTATTGATTGTTATGTCAAACACCAAGATGATTCTATGAGGTTGTAATTCCAGTTAGAATGAATTTCAATCTTAAACATAATGAATATCGTTGTGGTATATCTGATCTATGGTAGAAGTGAGTGATGCACTGATGGAGGAACCTTTCTAATTGATAAGGCAGGAAGTTTGTTCTAATAATAAATCAGCAAATGCATTTAGATGTCATCTTTGAACAGAATTACAAATCATGTTGCGTTCTCCCTTGTTATTATAGGCTGTTTACAATGTGATCTGCTACAATCACAGAATGCGACTGAAAACTGCGATGGAACTTTTGAAAGCCACTAGCGAGATTGAGTTGCAAGCTGA